AACAATTGCTTGCCACTTGTCGATGTGGCAAGCGAAGGAATGCAAACCTGCCTCATCCAATGCAAATAACGAACTGTAACCATTCTGAACAGCCCACTCATGCAATGGCCAGACAGCGGCGGCTGGTTTGCTAAGTGTTGCAGTCGCCTTCCTAACAAAAATGTTTTCAAAAGTTGTCTGCATGGTCTTCTCATCCAAAAACCGAGCACTTTGCTTCTTCAATGCCAACCCCAAAAAGAGTGGCGTCAGGGTTGTGAAGCAGAATCTCATGAAATTTCCGCAACGCTCCATGTCTCACCACATCTTCAGTCTGAATCAACTTGGCCAGTTGTAATCTCTATTTCGCAAAGTCAACTGTTGTTGTTGATCCAAAACTTGGCGAAACATCTCCACGCGTCTCTGCCTCTGTATCACCAGTCACAATCCGAGGGGCCTTGACTCACCTAATGCCACTAGGTTTTGATGCAGATCCATGCTGGTCACCGAACACACGTTTATACCAGCCTTTCTCCCAAAACTGCTTTGAGCCTTCTCTGGCAGCTGCTAGCCATTCGCTCCGCACCACATGTGGCGCATTGGCCATGAACACCCCCGGAGCCACTTCTTTGAGTGACCGGTAAAAATCAAAAGTTCCCACCCACCTCTTCCACTTGAGGTGTCAAAATCCGGATTCCAAAAGAAAAATTCCCAAACTGACATGTCATGATTCCATGTTGAATGCTTGTGAAAACATGCTTTGCAAATGTGCCACAAAAACACATGGTGAAAACATGCCAAAAAGCTTGGAGAGAAAATTCCAAAAACGCATTGCTTCGTTAGTTAAACAGTTGCAGCCTTTCGGAGTGAGTTTCCAAAAAGAGGTGTGAGAGAACCTTTCGCTCCAAACACAAGTTTTGCGCTAAGGAGTTAAGACAGTTTTGTCGCGTAGAAAAGAACCTTCCTTGACATCATGGATTTTGCGGCGATCGATTGGGCCACGCGAAAGTGTACGCCCCAGAAGGGATTGTCCCCAAAGGGTTGATCCTTCGATCGTTGCTCCGAACGGCTTCGATGACTCGCCACTTCGGCATCGAACGCCTTAAAATTCCTTGTTTCCTTCGAAAGCCTTGGGTTTGCTCGTAGCCTGAGCCCTGGATGGTCAAGAGAAGGAAAAATCGTCGCGCAGGTTCTTATCGAAGTGTTCCCGAATATCTCGGAGACATTGCAGTCAGCCTTAAAGGAGCGTTTCGTCTTTGGAAAGTGGGGGCACGACACTGCTGATTTCGCTGGGAGACGCGTTAGCGTCAGGGACACCAAGGCCGTCGTGCATCACCTAGAGAAATTACATCCCATTAAGCTGTTTGAAAGGAGGCTCTCTGATCGGTCGTCACCTTTGTCCTCCGAGTTTGAAGCCTTCCATTCGATGCTGTACTGCGTGAATTGGATTGCCCATCAGACCAGACCTGAGGCCTCAGGCATTGTTAGCATTCTGGTCGCCTGAAAGGGGCCGTTGCCTATTTCAGGGGCACAGCTAATCAGCCATTGGTCCTGCACAAGTTCAACAACGCCTCAGATGCGGGAGGTGTGGATGGCAAGCCAGGTGACCCATCCCAGCTGATTCTCGCATCGGACAGAATGCCCTCTGCATCCACCAAGACGAAAGTTTCCATCCTGTCTTGGAGATCAGCAAAACTGAAAGGACGGGTTACTTCCACCCTTGCCAGTGAAGCTTTGGCCTTTTCCCAGGCGTTGGGAGAGTTGGAATGGATCCAAGTCATGTTCCGAGATATCGTCTTCAACGACATTGACAGGAAAGGACCTGTCAGTTCTCAAAGATGATTCAGCCATTAGCACTTGCATCAAGGGTGATCGTCAAGAGCAATGTGGCATTATCGACGCGAAGTCCCTCTTCGACTCCTTGAAAAAAGAGGGCTCAAGACTTGAGCTCTCAACAAGATAGACGCACGTCCATCGAGCTGTCCATAATAATTGAGACGTTCCCGCTCATTGCTGAGGTGGACGCCACATCCACGTATGGTCTCCGACGTGCTGACAAAGGACGACGTCTCCAAGAGCAATGGCGCTCTTGAGGAGCTCTTTCGTTCTGGCGCTTTGGCGCTTTGGGATGAAGCTGATGAGCTGGCTCGTCGACGCGAGAATCCAAGGAACAAAGCCAGGTCCAAGAGAGCCTCTAGCGAGTTTAGAGCCGAGTGTGGTAACCTGCTGGTAGGATGTCAACTCAACACTTTTTTGGGGGTGCTGTCGAATCAATCCACCATGTATGATTCCGGGTTGCCTAGTGTGGGATGATGTGTTGTTACTTGAGTTGACATTTCTGCAGCCGTGACCAGTTCCCTGCTCGTTCACTGATTCCTTCCAACACTTCGGATGAAAAGTGCGTCTCTTCGCAGCAGAGTTCATCAAATGTTGCTGTACATAGAGGTGCTTGAGGAGGTAAAGCATTAGCAGTAAGTGGCATTATTGGTGCAGATTCTGGTTTAGAAACAGATACCGGCGGCGATAGTGATTTGATATTGACCAGTGAATTTGTGAAATTTGAAGGGACACCCCAGTCAGTCATAAATCAGATGCAGCGCAGGTTTGGCGCGAGACGTGCTATGAACCAAAACGCGGTCAGCTCCCTAGAAGAAAAGGGCCGAAATTGTCTAATGTGGTTCGCAGAGTTACTCTGGATGTTTTAAATGGCGAAAGTCCGAGGCAAGGAATTATTTTCAGTACATTGGACAGAAAGAGGACACAACACAACACCGACAACGGTACACCCAAGGACAATTGCCACCCGACAACGGGATGTGAATTTGAGATCCAGATCGCCAACACCGAGAGGAGGCGCAACCTCCAGCAGCTATCAACCAACACGCAGGAGACAGTCGACTTGGAAACAAGAACATAGCGAGGAAGAATCATCGGAGGACGAGAGAAAAGGCAGAGTTATTGCATTCTGAAAGCCGTGCTGTTCAGCTGCAGATCTTGTTTTCACTTGGGTCGTCTCGAGCTTGAATCCATCAAGGCTGTAGGGCTTGGCCCTAAAACCCAAAAGGAGGTTGCTAGGGGCAGGTGGTGGGTTTTCGAGGACAAAAACAGGCATCAAACCCTACCTCACCCGCCCTTGAGTAAAAAGGCAACATGGAAATGATTGAATGCACAGCACTTGAAAATGTTCCATTTTCATTTCTTCAATTCAATAAGACTTTGTTCTTGTTAGAACAGCCGTTTATTGCATTCTGAAAGCCGTGCTGTTCAGCTGCAGATCTTGTTTTCACTTGGGTCGTCTCGAGCTTGAATCCATCCCCCATTTCTTCAGTCTTTCAACGAGAGAATTCAAGACCAGTCTGGCATCAGCTGAGTCACACTTGTACGGCTGAGAAGTGTTCGGAGGGGGCACACCACGTGATGGACCATCTGCAATGTTTGAATGCGAAGCAACCCTGGAAATCCAAAGTCTCACACAGGGGTCGCACTCGATTTCAGCAAAGAATCTCACCAGGGCGTCAACAATTTCGTTTTCACTGCTACATTTCAGAATGCAATATTTCGATCCTTCGTTGTCCACAAAAAGGATGCACCTTCGATGCCGAACTTTATCAGTCCATAAGATCATCGCCACAAGAGCGGCAATGGTTTCACACTCGAAAATTATCTGTTTTTTGTGTAATTCTCCAAGGGCAGTCCGAGTGGCCTCGTCAACTTCCACTGAAAAGAAGGATCTGCTTCCAGCTGCATCAATGCAAACGCCGCCCAAACCGCATGGCCACAGTTTAGCATCACGTTCATAGCAAGCAAGCATCCGTGAAGATGAAAATCACGTCGTCTGAGGTATGTGTCACAAGTCGTGGGCGAGACTGTAACAAAACCTGTTTGAACAATTCGAAGAAGAAAACGTCATCGCTGTTCAGTCTGCTCCTGAAACCTGAGGCAAAATCGGCCAAAGCCTTCACGCAGCGGCGACCAACCCTTCCGAAGAGCTGAGCTTCTGCAAAAACCATTCGCCCTCGAAGTCGTGCGGAGTCATGTTTGCTAATCTTCCCAGCGGCATGCACTTTGTCGATTTCCGCAACTATCTCTTCCACACGTGAAGCCGTGTTGGCCACTTCGCAGATGAAATTGTTCGATTGTTGTAAACGAAACATAACTCCCAAAGCAGAGAACTCATCTTTGAACTCCACCCATTTGCGGCCCTCGTCAGCAAAAAGCCATCCTGCGAGTCGAAACAAGGCTGTGGCAGTAGCCTCTGAGGTCTGCTTGAGCGAGGGGCTTGACACCAGGATGAAATCATCATAGAAACTCGTCCACAACAAGTTTCCAAGAACCACGCCAATCCACCACAAACCCCTTGCAAGGCGTAGGAAACCATGAACACTGCGAACTCCACCGAATGGCAGAACTTGGCATTGCAATAGCTTGGGCTTCTTGTCAGTAGGATCGAAAACGCATATGTGGGCCTGTTCTCGTCCTGCAGCACTCAGGGGAACTTGTTTGTACGCGCTGTTGAGATCAAAGGTCTTCCCTTGCAGAGTGGGATCGCGTGCAGTCGCATAGCACTTGTTGAACCATACACTGATCATTGCGGCTGCAACATCAATGGTGTGTAACGATGGGGCCTCACAAGTCTCCACCGCTTGATTTACTCCGTTGCCAGTGAAGTCGTCAATGAGCCTTATTTTGCGTCGCTGCTTCAGGCCGAAGCGTCTTGCAATAGGGGCGTCTGTAGGGACACAGTCTGTAGCAATGGGCCCCTTCAACCAATGGTTATTGACCTCTTCAAGCGTCTGGGCCCATACCGAAGCATCAATCTCAGCATCACCTGAAGACGTAACTGTGGACTCGATCCCAGGCCTCACCATCATGGCCCTCGTACCCAGCTCATTTGTAGATAGCAATGCAGGAATAGACTTATCAGGCATCATGTTGGTTCTTTCTACCGGGCCCACCAGCTCTGCACCTTCGACTAGCTCGTTCACCACATTCAAATCCGGATACTCGGCTTCGACCAACATCTCCTTGTACAGAAGAATGCGCTTTTTCTCGATCACTCGCACAACTTGTGGGTCCAGGCCTGCTTTCAACTTCTCCTCCTCATCGCTGAGCTCCTTGGCACGTTGTGACCACTTCTTCACAAAGTGTAGTCTCGATCTGGCGATGTCCAAGTCCGAAGAATTCATGTGTCTGTCCATTGCTTCAATCAAGATTCCAGGTACCACGTGTCTGTCTGCGAATGGGTGGCCTGCCAGAATCACTTGTTGAATGAATTCTTCCGGTTCCCAGAAGCTACCAAATATTTTCACGCAGGAGAACTTGTCAATACACCGGCACTCACTGAAATCCGGGTCTGCACCAAAAGAATGACATACCTGCAAGATCAATTGTAACGTGTCCACATCCGAATTGCTGTCACTCTTATTCCCCAGTTGTTCGGTATGCAGCAATTTGCAGTTGTCCACCGATGGCGCAATGCAGGGCCACAAGATGTTCTGGTCCTGGTCGTAGGCGACGACAATCTTGTGTTTGAACTCGGGCACTAAAGGTGACAGCTTATTGCCCGCTGGTTGAACACCTGAGAATGCTTGAGTGAGAGCAGTTGAAGTCAGAGCGTCCATGGAGATAACATTGGTACGTTGCAAGGCCATCAAGAATGCGTTGGAGATCGCATCACATAGCCCTCGTGGGTAGTGGACTTCCAGTGAAGTTGCGTGAACTCGTTTGTTGCCCACACGTTGCACACCCCAAGCTGCATGTTCGTGGTCCCCAGGACACTGGAACACCTCCTTGAAGTTTGCACACAGTCTGGTTAGCTTGGGGCGGTCGCTTCCATAGGCACATGCTCTGTGATCTTGGACGAAGAGCTCGTCGTGGCAAGTCATGTCCATCCACGGCGTTGTCAACCAAAAGAAACTGTTTGCTGGGTTCTCCACCATCGCCAAAATAGCGACCATGCAACTGGTTTCCACACAAGCTGCTGTGAACGCATACAATACGTTGGCAGCTCCGACACGTAGTCTATCTAATTCAGAGAGTCCATCCAAACCATCTGGTTGAAGAAAAGATCTCAAAGGTTGGGGTGGTTTTTCCACTCCTGGCAGAGGAATCGCGCGGGCTTGACTCGCCGTCCCACAAGGTGGCTCCAACACAACAAGGTGAACTTTGCGCTGTTGTATCCAGGACAGAACAAGCTGCTGGTTCCCAATCAACGTGCAATCCATCTGAATAACACTAGCCAGCGGGTGTTTGTGCAAGACTTTATCGATTGCCAAACAGCTCACCACGCCTCTTCGTTTGAATGAGGCCGAAACTCCTGCTGTACCGCAAAACACCTCGAGAACGACAATCTGAGAAACACGCAAATGGCCATCCCGAGGTGTTTCTGACTGTCACTCAGTTGTAACGGCTGACTTGTCCGGTCCGTGGGCATCTCTCCAGGCATGAGGCTGGAAACAATTTGCCAGAAAGCAATTGTGTCTTCCGTTTTTGCAAACGCCGCCAGCCGCAGCATGCTTGCATCCTTTGATGTTGAAGTCGAAGCAAAGTGACCTTCCTTTGTTGTCTTTGCCCACGCATCCAGGAAAACCTCTGGGTGCCACCGTAAGTCCAGGTCCGTTTTTCTGTTTGCCCTTGCCTTTTCCTTTCTGCGGCCTTGCTGGATATGGCGCAGATGGAGAGGTCTTCGTATCTGATGGCTCCCGTCGTTGCTGTGCAGAGGCGCTCTGAGGCAAGGGCATGAGATGAAACGCAACATGATAATCTCGAAGCGCTTCCATAAGCATGTTGTCCAGAGGCTTCACACCTGCTGCATCTGGCCTGATGTTGTCACAGTGTTTGCTCAGGTAAGAGAACACCTCTTTGTCTGCTCGAAGGACCTGAGTAATGCTCGTCGAATGAAAGTTCGGCGGAGGGTCCTGTTGCAAATGCCTCATCAAGGAGTCCGTGTATCGTTCATGGCTACGATACGAAATCAGTCCTGAGAACTCATAGGCTACCGCTCTGCGTCGAAAGCACAACATCAATTGGTAAGCATTGTTCACTGACTCGTCTGGGATGTTCTTTGACTCTTTCACTGTCAAACTCGAACCATCTAAGTGCAACTTCTTGTTCAGCTTCCCAGATGTCACCTCTGCCTCTCTAGATGCACACTTTGCTGGCTCAACGTATCGAAGGCACCTCGTTTCGTATTGAAAGCAGCATTCATCGACCAGCGAATACGCCGGTTCATTGTGGCCCTCCAGGATCACACCACCCAGCTGCTGTCTGATCTGTACCATACGCACCTGACGCTCTGCATAAAGGGTTGGTTTTGGCACAGATTGTTCGCTCGTAGGATGTTCCACCGTAGCACGCACTATTGCAGTCACAACAACTTCTGCTTCAAAGTGTAGACGTCTCAATGCTGCAGCGGTGCCAAGCGAGGGGTCCTGTCCAATCACTTGTCTAATCCACGTTGAGAAAGCGGTCTCATCAAAGTCCTGGCCCGGTCTGCCCATGCCGAAAGCCATGTGTGCCAAGGTTCTGATCCCTGCATCTTTGAAGTTCCGCAAAATGTTCCTTGGATCTCCATAGCTCACTGCTCGCTCCTCGAAGTGTGCTTCACTGTCAGCAGTATTCGCCATCACACCCGAGGTCGCAAATGTTTAAGTAAAGTTTTGCAAAAATGTGTCATCAAAGTTGAGTGCACCGTGCAAAGCTCAAGCAAACTTGAATACACAGAGGGAAAACAAGACTTGTCGTGTGAAAGAAGAAACACTCAAGTGAAATGTGAATGACACATCAACAAAAATTTGAAGAGCCAAATCTGCAAGTTTGGCAAACATGAGCGTCGACATGTACCCAAACATGTTCAGAGAAGTGACAACCACTCCCTTGGCAAGTTGGGGGGCATCCCAAACAAAAACACTATTTTGTCTCACCAGAGACGTCTGAGGAACATACCTCAGTTTGTCATCCAAAGCTCACTCTTTGTTTTTCCCCATTCGCATCAACGAATGTCAATGTTCCGCTACACACGGAAGCACTTGCTGCATTTATAACCTCCAGGTTCATAGCACGGCACGTAAGAGCTGCATAGCTTACGTCCACACCTGAAGACATCTCGTTCGCGGATGCAGTGAATGACCAAGGATTTGATGTTCACGAAGTCACACTCAAACTTCGGCGCAAACTGTTTGACGAGGTCATTTCCCGCCTGAACCTCTTCACCATCCGTGGAGGATGAATCTTCACTCGTCAGCTCATGCTCCAGCTCTGTCCAATCTTTCACAAGGCTACCGCTCATCTCTGCAATGGCCTCTTCAGACAGGATTTTGGGTACTGGCATTTCCACTTGGGTCCAGCTCGCATCGTCGACATCGACTTCCACTTGCTCAGTCGAAGGCCCATCACTCCTCGTCTCTGCAGTGACATCACTCTGCTTGTTCAAGGACTGCTGGC